GAAGAATCACTGAATTGGATACTCCACTAAATGTTAGGAATACATTTTTCATTTTAATATGCTTTCATTTTCAGTAACAGGCACAGAATGAGTGACCAGTAGAGGCCTAAAGAGTGACCAGGTCATATTAGTCATAATTGTAATTTGTATCAAGTGCTCAGTGGCATCTTTGGGAATTCACATGGTAGAAGCCATTCTCATTATTTCTCATCTGTTTGTTTACATGCCCTATAGCCATCAAACAACCCTTTTGGCCTTGCTTACTCCTAACCTTTGTTACAAATCGCATTGCCTCCACTTGTGGGCTCAGCTTCACTCAGACTTTAGGTACAACACTATTCCTAGGTAGGTGGAATATAAAGAACCCCATGTCTGTTGACCTGGTGCATTAAATGGAACAAGGCTCTCCCATCATGTCCCCCAAAATGTTTAAACTCTTTTCCATTCATTGCTTGTTCTGGGGCCACTCAGTGGTCTCATGGGTTACTCCTGGCTCTGTTATTGGGAGTCACGTCCAGTAGTGCTGGGGGACCATGCAGTGTCAGTAACAGAACCATAGCATCTGGCCTGCAAGGCATCTATTCAGCCAATTAAGCTATTTCCCTGAGCCTCCAAAAGTAAAATTTTTTGCTGTAGATAATAGTCCCATGTTTGACTTTTGCTCAGTCTACTCTCCAATTAGACCACTAATTCTAATTAGACCATGATATTCAAAATTCTTATTTTTTATATTTTAATCCTCTTACTGTTGGCCTTTAGTTCCTGTGAGCTCTTGATATGAGAACCTATTTCAAATAACTCTAGCAGTTACCTTGATTGACCTGCTTTAATTCACCCAGGGTACCTATATTCTGATTAGAATACAGACTCATCTCACAGAAATTGCAGTTTTGTTCCAGACAACCACAATAAGGCTATTGCAATGAAGTAAGTCATGTTTTGTTTCCTGGTCTGTACAAATTATGTGTACACTATACTGTAATCTATTATGTGTATGATACTATATCTTTCTTTAAAAAGAGAAATGTATATACCTTAAATGTAGCCTATACCAAATGAATGCACATTGGAAAATTAACATTATTTGACTTTCTCAATGCAGGGTAACCATATACCTCCATTTCTTTAAAAAAGAAAAAAGTATCTGCAAAACACAAAGCAAAGAACACTAAACCATGTTTTGCCTAAATGCCCAAACCTCACTGAGTGATCTCTCTCTCTGGCTCCTTTATTTAAGGACGATATTTTATTATTTGTTTTTATTCTGATTTGAGCTGTATCTAGTGATGCTCAATGGACCATATGCAGTGTGGGGGACCAAACTGGGGTTAGGCATATGTGAGCAAACACTTTTATCCCCATGATCTCTCTCTGGCCCAAGACAGGTATATTAACAAAAAGTCAGCTCACTGGTTTCTGAACATCCTTTGATCTTAAACAAAGGTTTATCCCAGGGATTTTCTTTCTTCTATAAATTTTACCTTCTGCCCTAATGCCAAACTTAATGAGTCATGTTTCCTCGAACCTTTTACTTTCTTTCCTGTACTACCCCTGATCTCATCGTGCTCCTGAATCCTAAGTCTACATAATTGGATGTCAGTTTCCAGAATTCTCTGGATCATCTCTGCCCAAACCTTTATCTGATAATAAGTTCCCCCAAGTCACTGGAGCCAATTCCAGTAACTCAAAGTCACATTCTTTTAACCTTCCCCCCAAGCAAACTCTATGAAAGACCATAAAAACCTCATGAATACATAGATATTTATTTAATTCATAATATAGCATTTCAGATGGGCTGGGATATTGCAGAGGGATGAGGCTGTGTAATCCACAGATGCTCAGATTTCTGTCACAAGGAGAGACAGCATTGGTCCAGATCTCCCAGTACAAACAAGCCTGGGGATAAAGCATTTGATAAAAAATAGTCCAACAATAGTTGAATAAATATTATAGCCAATAACAACACAGTATATGTCTAAAGCCAGTAGATCAAACCATAAAAGGCAGTTTTATTTGACCTGATGGCAGTCAATCCAGCCAACACGTAATACATAGCCAGATATAAGCCCAATGACTCTGAGGCTGCAAATAACCCCAGGTATTGAATTATTTGAGTTGTTCTACTCCATCAGCCTCATATTTTGTGGAGAAAAGGGTATCAAATATTTGAGCTTATCAAAAAGTCCATCTATGGATTGGTCCATTCAGGTAGTCATATATAAATAAGTAAACCATGGAAGTTTAGAAAATTGACCTAGTATATTTTAGCTGAAAAGAATATGAAAGTGATTTTGCTGCAATCTGAATTTCACTGCATCCAAAGTTACACAATGGAATTACATGATAAAAAAAAAACAACCAGATGCAGTTACTGTTACTTATAAGTAGCCAGAACTCCAATGTGGAAATAAATTTTCTTTCATATTCTCTTAACTCTTGACTTTGTGATTATGTTTGTGCTTTCTTCAATAAGACAATATAAAATGTGGAAACAAGCATAAATTGCACACAGAGAAGTAACATAACATACTCTAACAGAAAGTATTATAGCATAGATTGAGCAGAGAAACAACAAAATTTTATGGAAACACCTTCTCTGAAGGTGTTAAATACAGGCGCTAGTCCCTTTGTTCAACTGGGTTTACCTAGAGGTAGTCACTGACTTCTCTTAAGGTCCCTGGCATTGCCAGTGTTCTACACAAGTCTCCACTAAATACTTTACCTCCATGTTGTTTCCTGGAAAGCACTTTTTGTTATTGGGCTCAGAAACTTTATCGCTAATCCTTGTCGAATTTCCCATTTTATTCAGTAGACTTAGCTGGGAGTGACTTTTGGTTATATCCAAACCCTAAATCCACTTTCAAAGAATGAAATTTGAATAGACTGACAAATATTGAACAGAATGGTGCCACATGCGACAGACTATCTCCCAAGAGAAATTTTAAAGCGTTTCTGAGGGTGACAATGTTAGTTTAGGCATATGAGTCCAGAATATCCACAAAATACCATCAATACAGCCCAAATGGTGAAGTAAGTAACCAAGCTTCTCAGCCCAGGAAATAACAAAACACCCATGTGGATCTCAGAGTAAAAGAGGGAAACTTTGATTACTCATTTGTTCAGTCACACATTCATTCAATAAACATGAGCCAGACGCCTACTCTGCTCCACTCACTTAGAAGAACAAAATACAGTCCCTCCCCTCAAGGCATTCAGAGTCTAAGAAGGAAGGTGATTATCACATTAAATTTTGTGCATCAGAATTACCTGGGGAGCTTGTCAAAATTGTCACATTCCACTCTTGTGCCCAGATATTCTAATTAAGGAGATCAGGGCTGGGGTCCAAGAAGCAGTTGTTTAAATAAACAGAAAAGGCAATTCTAACATAGAAGGCAGCACTTTGGAAAACAAAGCTCTACCATGTGATTATTGTTGCAGGCTCAGAGTGCTGTCTGGGGGAGGTGTCAGGAATCAATCTGACTATTTTGTCAGGGTAGAAAAAGTCTTACAGGCTAGAGTCAAAAGAAGGCTAGGGAAATTGAAGCATTGTCAGTCACTAAAATCTAAAGGAAATATTAAATGAGTAGTGTAGATGACCCAAGAACAAAATATGGGAAAATTGAATGTGTGGGGTGGAAGTGGAGTGTCACACTTAGAGAATTTTCACACTATTTTGTTAACTTAAGAACAATTTCTACTATATACTCTGAACATCAAAATTGTTACTAATTTCTCTGCTTCAGGACCAAAGAACAATTTCAGGCCAGCTATAAAAACTGGAGGAGTTGGTAAGAAAGGGAGTGAGGAGTGACAAAAGATAAAGCCAGGAAAGCAAACAGGGTCCCAAAAAGTCAAACCCTTAGAAAGTGAATCCTAGCAGATGCTAGAGGAGCTAGTTAAGGTTATATAAAAGGGGAAATAATCTTTCTGCTTTGCTTTAAGAATTTGGGGATGGTCTAGAGGAGACCAGGGTAGGAAAGACCAATTCTGAGGTCCAAACTGAGTGAGTGGGTACGGAGCTTAATATTTCTTACACATTTACTAAATGCTAGATGCAGTGCTAGGCAGTTCACATGTGCTATTTTCTTTAATCTTTGCAACAGCCTTGTGAGGTAGATATTATTTTACAAAGAAACAGCCTCTGACAAATGAAGTACTCACCCTAGTTCTCACCCTTAAATGGCAGAGGAAATAGGATCATTTTAGCCAAAGCTATGAGCTTTCCATCACAAGCTCTTTCCCAATATGGCCGAATCTTACTGAGTTTGCTCATTTCCTGATTAGCAGGAAGTACACATCCTGACTTTGAAAACCAAAAAGTTAACTCTGCCACTAGATACGTTAAGTTTAGCCTGCCACCTGTATCTGTTTAGCTTTCTATAACAAATAGTTACTGTCATTTAGGCGATTTATATAGCTACTTTGCTCTCCCACAGAATGGTAAACCTCATTGACAACAGGGAATTGTGACTTATCAACATTTCAGCAGCAGTATGATACATGGCATCTAGTAGATAGTTGAGTGAATTAATAAAATATTTTTTTCAAAACTCCAATCTGGGGGCCTGTAACAGCTATCGTTCTGCATACAACAGTAATATTTTTATAACTCCTATGGAATAGGCTTCTTGAAGCAGACTTGACTCCTGGAAAAAGAGAAAGAAAGCTCTGGCTCTTCCATCCCCAATGCCTGAAGTGGCACTATCAAAATCACAGCCCATGAAGCCTGATTCCCTTCAATTGGAGCAAGGAGGTCAAGGATGGAATTTAGGCTGCACTTGCCAAAAAGGGTCAGCACAGAAGCTGACTGATGTTGATAACATTCCAAGAGGAATGATTTTTTTGACCTGTTTCAGAAAACAAACTGTTCTCAGCATTCTAAAGCACTTCATAAAGGTGTCTTATCTTAAGATACGGTACACGTATATGTAAATAAGTTATAAATTATAACAATCCATTTTACAAATTAGTAAATATGGTCAATCATTGTTTTCTTCTTTCAGGGGTTTTGGGGCCACATCCGGTATGCTTGGGGACTACTTCCAGCTCTGGTTTTGGGAGTGACCCCTGCAAGTGCAAAGGGGACCATTTGATGCTAGAGATCAAATCAGGTCTGCTGCATGCAACATACGCACCATAACCACTAGAGTAGTTCTCTGCCCTCAATAATCACTTTTTTAAAAGCCTAATTCTAGTAACTGCATGTCCATCCAAGTAATAAAATTGTGTTTCTTTGAATATTCTGTGACACAATTTTCAACAATTCAGAACTATCTCCATTAGCCTCCATCTCCTGTGCAATCTGTTTCCCAATCTCTTCTTATCCAACCCAGAGCCCTTCCCACTGTGCTTGTCATTCCTGAACTTGTGGGATTGTATTAGAGGAGGGAGGGAGGGAAAGAGGAAGGGCAAATGTTGATGGAGTCAGTGTTCCTTTTAGTGGACAAAAATGGATAGCATAATTTATTTTCCCTTTCAGTAGATTTCTCACTCATTGAACAAATGAAAAAGTTTATGATGCATATATAATTAAAATGAATATACAATGTGTTATATATTCATTTAATATATTATATATACATGTTTTCTTTCTAACAAATCCTTGATTGCAGATTTTATCAAAAGCTATATATAGTACATGATCATTTGACACTTCAAAGTTCTACTTGGCTAAATTAGCCAGTACTAGAAAGGCTGATGCCCCACCCACCCTTATGTTCCATGTGGCTATTCCCTGTTTGGAGCATCGTTCTACATTATTTACCTAGAATGAGCCTAACTTCCTTCAGTATCAGTGATAGTCCCACATCATTGGGAACTGTCACATCTCCAATGACAAGAGGAATTCTCTACAATATTTTTCTTCAATGGCTTGAACCCAGGCTACTCAGATCATTTGTTCTGAGAAACTCAATACATTGATTTGAATACAAGCTTAAATGCACACAAATCAAATCTAGAATATCTAGTTATTTTAAATGATTGAAATAAACTTTATTTTGTATCTTGTATACTGAGCACTAACTGAGGTTTTAGAAGTGGAAAAACTGCTGAACGGGAGAGCCAGTGAATTATATGCTCTCTTGTAACTTAATGGCAAGCTTTCATCCCAGAAACATAAGGGGATTCTTGAGGCCTGCAGTTGCATTCCTGCCGCTCAGGGTAATCAATAAAATCTGGGGCAGGCAAACCAGATAGGATCATTAGGGATTTGTTCCAGATTGTGAATGTTGGACAAACTGGAAGAATGAAGGTCACATCAAAAGTATGAAGATGAAGAGAGTTAGCTGGGTCATAGAAAGACAGCATGTTGTTGTCATAATCCAGAAGAACTCCCAGACGCTTCAGTTGTGGGGGCACATCCACCAGCATCTCCTTGTTGTTATGTCTCACTATGTAGTTACTGTTGCATCGAGAGAAGACCCATGATGAGGCATTCTTGCCAATCCACTCATTCTTGGGAGCTGATTTGTAGGCAATACCAATTGCATACCTGTCAAACAGCACAAAAGATAGAGAAATAAGCATTTATTAATGATTGGAGCAGTGCAAGACATGACATGGCATATATAAGAAATAGAATACAGGGAGCCGATGAGATTACTACAATAGGTAAGGTGTTTGCCTTGCACGTGGCTGGACTGAGTTTGATCCCCAGCACTACATATGGTCTCCCCAACCCAGTCCTGCCAAGAATGATCCATGAGCTAGGAGGAATAACTGAATACCACTAGGTATAGCCCAAGAAAAAGAAAGAAGTAAAAGAGAGAGGGTGAAGTAAGAAAAGGAAGGAAGGAAGGAAGGAAGGAAGGAAGGAAGGAAGGAAGGAAGGAGGGAGGGAGGGAGGGAGGGAGGGAGGGAGGGAGGGAGGGAAGGAAGGAGGGAAGGAAGGAAGGAAGGAAGGAAGGAAGGAAGGAAGGAAGGAAGAAGGGGAGGGAGAGAGAGAAGGAGGGGATGGAAGGGGAGGGGAAGAGGGGAGAAGAGAGGAGCAGAGAGCAGAGGAGGGAGGGAAGGGAAGGGATAAAATACAGATTTCTTTCTTAATGATACCACTCCATATTTGTAATTAGCAATTAGAGGACTGGAGCAACAGCACAAGGGGTAAGGCATATGCCTTGCACACAGAGAACCTGAATTTGATCCCCAGTATCCCATAAGGTCTCCCAATGCACTACCAGGAGTAATTCCTGAGTGCAGAGCCAGGAGTAACCCCTAGCCTTGCCAGGTGGGGCCCAAAAGCCAAACAAATAAATAGCAGAGTTATATTTATTCAACTTCTAGCCTAGTAGATTCCCCATCATTTACAGAAAAAAAAATGCCCACAAATAAAACTGGCATTTTTTCTGGAGTCATTTTCATCCCATCATTTTTAGAGAAGTGAAGTTCCTAAGAACCTCACAACAAGAGAGAATAGAGAAAATTGGGATCCACGTACCATGTTGAGGAACCCATGACCACTTCCCAGTAGTGGCAGCCACTGTCAATGAATATGTTTCCTGCTGCCCCGTAGCACCCTGTACCACTAAATCTCTCTGGGGTATGACTCTTCTTCAGAGAGCTCTCATCCTTCTCCATTTGTAGTCCATCATTGGAGATCTTCAATTTCTTGTGTGTCATTTTGGGATCCAGTTTAAAAGGTTGGCCTGAGACAAGGAGAAAATACAAAAACATATGAGAACATTTTAAGAAGTCCATCTTTGGACATGCCACTGGCCAAGCAAGTGAAAACAGAGATAGACAAATGGGACTATCTTAAACTAAGAAGCCTCTGCACTTCAAAAGAAACAGTGACCAAAGTACAAAGACAGTCTACAGAATGGGAAAGGATATTCGCCCAATACCCATCCAATAAGGGGTTGATATCAAGGATATAAAAAGCACTGGTTGAATTCCACAGGAAGAAAACATTCAACCCCATCAAAAAATGGGGAGACAAAATAAACAGAAACTTTATCAAAGATGAAATCCGAATGGCAAAAAGGCACATAAGAAAATGCTCTACATCATTAATCAGCAGGGAGATGCAGATCAAAACAACAATGAGATATCATCTCACACCACAGAGATTGGCCCACATCCAAAACAACAAAAGCAACCAGTGTTGGCATGGATGTGGCGAGAAAGGGACTCTGCTTCACTGCTGGTGGGAATGCCGACTGGTTCAGCCCTTTTGGAAAACAGTATGGACGATTCTCAAAAAAATTAGAAATTGCACTCCCCTTTGACCCAGGAATACCACTCCTGGGAATATATCCCAGAGAGGCAAAAAAGGGCAGTTGAAATGACATCTGCACTTCTGTGTTTATTGCTGCACTGTTCACAGTTGCCAAAATTTGGAAAAAACCCGAGTGCCTGAGAACAGATGACTGGTTAAAGAAACTTTGGTACATCTACACAATGGAATACTATACAGCTGTTAGAAAAGATGAAATTTACATACAAGCGGTTCTACATGGAAAGTATAATGCTAACTGAAATGAGCAGAAAGAGAGGGACAGACATAGAAAGACTGCATTCATCTGGGGAATATAAAATAATAGAATGGGAGTTGAACAGCCAAGAATAGTTGAGATAAGTACCAGAAGTTCTGCTCCAGGGCCTGGAAGCTGGTAGCACATGTTGAGGGAAAAGGCAGCTCAGATAGAGAAGGGAACACCAAGTAAAGATGTTTGGAGGACTTGCTCGGGATGCGAGATGCATGCTGAAAGTAGACTATAGACTGAACACGATGGCCACTCAATACCTCTATTGCAAACTACAAGACCCTGAAGGAAACAGTGAGCAAAAGGGAATGCCCTGCCACAGAGGTGGGGCAGGGTGGGGGGGATGGGAGGGATACTGGGATCATTGGTGATGGAGAATGGGCACTGGTGGAGGGATTGGTACTCAATCATTGTATAACTGAAACCCAAGCATGAAAGTTTGTAAGTCTACAACTGTACCTCATGGTGTTTCACTAAAAAAAAGAAAAAAGTCCATCTTTGTCCTCTAGGAATACCACTCTCAAGGCAGCCTCATAGAAGGATCATTCATAGGCCCATACACCTTGCTGGCTCTTTAGATTCCATTAATAAGTCAAACCCAAACCCAGATTTCTCTTTAAAAATGCTGCCAATATGTTGTCCAATTCAAAGGGGTCTCTTAAAACGTCTCACGTTCTCAAAATGTGCTGAGTTCAATGCTTTGTTTCAGAGAATGATTTAGGATTTGAATAGATTTTAGGTGAAGGAGTATTTGAGGTGAGGCAAGGTGAGAGCAATTGAAGCAACTGCTGCTTGGTGGCAACATAAAGGCAAACCGATGGACTGGAGATGTGGCTCATTAGGAAAAGGCATGCCTTGAATATGGCACCGCGAAAACAAACACACACACATAAACAAACTGAGAATTCAACAACAGAACAACGTTTGATCTTCTACAATTGAAATATAATTAACATATAACTAGGAAGAGTCAAATTTTAGAGCCACTGTTCATCAGGCATTACAGAAAACATTAGTTGGCTTCTAGAATTGCATACAACCCAATGACAAAATCGGTTAAACCAGAAGACCAACAGTTGGGTGAGACAAGGGTGTGTTGCAAAAAATGTGGATCTCTGGAACATACTGTTGGTGAACTAATTCTCATTCCCCACTTTTCCCTCTCTTACAATCTTTCTGGCTCAGCTCTTCACACGCTACCTGTCTGAATGCAAGGTTCCGTCCCAGTGGAAAACCAGCAGGACTGTACTACTGTACAAGAAGGGAGACATCCACGACATTGGCAACTATAGCCCAATCTGCCTATTGTTTGTCATCTACAAGCTGTTCACTCGAGTCATCCTGAATAGGATTGGCAGAACACTAGATGAAGGACAACCATGCGAGCAAGCCGGGTTCCGAAAAGGATTCAGCACCATCGACCATATCCACACGATAACCAAGCTCACTGAGGTTTCTCGGGAGTTCAAAATGCCGCTCTGTCTAACGTTCATTGATTTAAAGAAGGCCTTTGATTCTGTTGAAACGGAAGCGGTCATTGAAGCCCTAGCCAATCAGGGCATTCAAACTCAATACATCAGTATCCTCCGTGAGCTGTATTACGTATTCACTACCAGGATCTCACCATTCTACAAAGAAGTGATCATTGATGTCAAGAGAGGGGTTCGGCAGGGTGATACCATTTCACCAAAACCCTTCAGTGCGACCCTCGAGAACATCATGCGACGACTGGAATGGGAAGAAATGGGAGTGAAGATAGATGATCGGCAACTACACCACCTCTGCTTTGCTGGTGACATTGTTCTAATAACACCAAACATTAGCCAAGCGGCACAAATGCTGGCCAACTTTGACCATGAGTGTGGAAAGGTCGGACTACTGCTGAATCTTACGAAGACAATATTTATGAGAAACAGCCTCGTTCCTGATGCTCCATTCGCTCTCAATGGAACGACCATCTCCAAATGCAAGTTATGTGTACCTAGGTCGAGAAGTCAACATGACGAATGACCTGGCACCTGAGTTGCGCAGGAGGAAAAGAGCGGCTTGGAACGCCTTCAAGAGTGCCTAAGAAATAGCTAAGAGGATGAAGAACCTCCTGCTCCGGGCACATCTCTTTGATTCCACTGTTCTTCCTGCACTAACATAGGCCTCAGAGACCTGGGCCCTATGCAAACAGGATGAAAACACTATTCCGGTCTCCCAAAGAGAAACTGAAAGAGCTATGCTTGGAGTATCACGTTTCACTCAAATGAGAGAAAGAATCCAGAGTTCCAACCTCCGTAGATGATCAAGAATCAGGGACACTGTCTTGTTTACCAAGGCGTCAAAAATCAGATGGGCTGGACACATAATGAGATTTAGAGATGACTGCTGGGCTAGAAGCCGTTACCGACTGGATTCCGCGGGATGTCAAAAGACCACGTGGCTGCCCACCTACCAGATGGTCAGAATTCTTCATCAAGATCATGAACGACCAGTTTGAGGTTCTTCGTGTTCCTAGAACGAATAGACGCCATTGGGCTACACTAGCACGTGACAGGGACAAATGGAGACGTTACTGGCGCCCACTCGAGCAAATTGACGATTAATGGGAAGTCAAGTGATCAAGTGACAATCTTTCTGTACAGAGACTAGGAAAGCTAAACATTCTAGCTCCCAACGTCCCTCCTTGTCGCATAAGAGGCTCATAAGATCGAAGCAAATGACGGGTGATTTTGTAAAAGTACCTGTTTTCTTGATTAAAAAAGAATAATCATCATGGACAACAACTCCTTTCCCCATCTTACTCTCTGTAAAGGAATTAACTCCTAGAAAAGTTCGCCGCCATATTGCAGCCATGCAGCAGTAAGTCAACACACACACACACACACACACACACACACACACACACAAGACTCTTGGAATTTTAGGCATCACACAGTTATTTTCCCAACCCTGAACCACCTATCTTCAAATTTCTTGAATGCAAGAGGAAAAAAGAACACTGTTTTAATGATGAACAAATACTGATTGTAAAGCTAAATTTGAGCGCCTGTCCCTTGCATACAAAACCATTCCCAAGCAGCAGATTCTCTGGTAGAAGGATTTTACCAGATCGATTATCATTATCATGAGCTCAGTTGTCATTCAAGCGTGGGGAACTGGGGGAGAAAACACTTCACAAACATCCTGCAAAGTCACCAATTATTTTAACTATCTCTATGTGTCCACATACCTCACAAGGGTGCACACAAACCTGCTCTTCCCAACATAAACTACAACAAAGCAAAGCTTCTCTATCCAGTGCCTCTGTTCTCTGGTACTATTCTGGGGGCTTGCTGAGGGGACTCCCTGGCACCAATGGGAAAATTTCTCTCTCCTTTCAGAGTCATCACAACGTACTGTTTGTCTTGAGTCTGGTAGGTTCGCTGTTCCGGCTGCCTGCTTGGTTTATGGCTTTGACAATGAAGATGTAGCGAGTCCCACTCTGGAGTCCATGCACTGTGTAATGGTTCTGTTTGATGTTTGGCACAATCATCCAGCTATCCACTGAATTATACAGGCCTGTGACATGGGGAAAGACAAAGCATTAACAGGCAAGTCATGGAAACAGGATGAGAAGCACACAAAAATATCATTATATGCCTTCCCTCAGAAGGGACCTCAAAATTAATTTTTTTTCTTTTGAGTCCCACAAGAATTTGTTTCTTTTCTCCCATGAAGCTACAGGTATGCCCAGCTTCTCACTCCTGGCAATGGTAGCCAGAAGTGAAAATCAGAAAATAAAATATTTTCTGCCAAGTGATACCAGATAGGATTCTGTATAAAAATCATAGAATAATCACTTCTGTAGAGTCTCTAGATCTTGATTCCAAAGGTGCAATCCTGTGAGTACTGGATTTCTAGTTTAGGTAGAGTGGTTTCATGAAGCACACAGAAACAGACTCTCAAGGCCAAAAAGACACCTTTGACACTGTATTTCCCTCATTTTACAATTGAAAAAACGAAGATCAAGAAGAGAAAAATTATTTATCCAAACAACTGATGGTGGAGCTGAGAGGAGAAATCTGGTGTCATTAATCCTAGTCCAGTGGTCTCTTCACTACATCACAAGCCACTGGGTGGAAAACAATGTTCTTTGTCTTGCCAATTTAGCGATGCTTTCACAACTTATCACTAAACTCTTTTATTTTTATCTCCTCTCACCCTTACTTCCAAAACTAGCTGGGCTCCAATATCTCATAGGAAAGTCAAGGAGATGACATGATAACCAAACTGCAAGAACATCTCCTCACAACACTATCTAGTTTTACCCTTTCCCCATTATGATTCCATTAGTCACTTGCAACTAGATGGCCCAGGAATACATTATTATCTAGAAACTTCTTTCCTCCCAAATAGTGAAAGGGATTGGAGATCTAAATTTCTCGTTTGAAAACTCCTTAGACCATTAATAGTGACTTAGACAAAAACGTACATAACGAGACATATCATTTGGCTTTTATGAAAAGCAGAATCCACATCCTAGTATGCGGATTATCTAGAGTTCTCTTATCTGTTATCTGCTTTTTAGTTTACCATTTTTCAAACCACAATTCTACCAGAGGGTGGAAAGGGTAAGAAAAATGGGTGGTGAAATTAGTCACCCATATGCAGCTCTAGTAAAATATTAGGGAGTTTGAAAATTGAAAGCAATAATGAGTATTTTCAGAGCAATCTAATCAGGAGCGTTTTATAATTAGTTGGGGAGAGAGGTAGAAGAATTCTAAATTAAAAGTATAAAAAGAAGTACAATGGAGAATAAATAGATATACTGTACAAAGAAAAATAGCTGGTGGAGAGATTCAGTGATTCTCATTAAAGGAAAATAAGAATAAGGCCCCAAAACTGTGATTAAGACCTTGATTTCCAATGTCCCAATGTACAATATAAATTATAAACTGCACATGAAATTTTAATAAAAAGAGGAGGCACATAATCTTCCAGATGTACTTACAGAAATCCAAAACAAACAAACAAAAAAACTTAGCAATGAAGTTTAATGCATCTGTACAAAAGAATGCAGAAGATCTCTATGACTTTATATGGAGTGAGTTCCATGATATACTATCAACTAAAAAGAGCAAGTTTCAAATGAGTGCTTAAAGTAGGATATTTTTAATGCAAAAAAAGACAAATAAGAAAACATAGATTTTTGCCTATATTTATAAAACAACAACAACAGGAAGGGAAAAACAAACCAGGAAAAAAAATGTGATCCATTACCTATAAGGGACAGGGTTACAGGAAAGGAGTTTAAAGGATATGGGTGAGAATGACACTTATCTGTGTATACCTTTTTGGTTCTGTTTTCCATTTGGAGAATATACCATTGTTTTACAAAATCAAAACATTAAAATGAAATCTGTGTGAATGGGTGGGGGGGGGGGGGAGAGGAATAAAAATGGAAGCATACAGAAACAAATGGACCCAACTGCATTTCAAACAAACAAACAAACAAACAAACACAAAAAGGATGCAAGTGGGAGGAGGAGAGCAAACTAATACTGACCCATTGTATGCCATTGTATGTTTTTGTAGGGGTGGGGGCAGAGCAAGTCTGAATCTATTTCATATAAATTACGGAACTATGTAAAGGAGTAGCACTGTGGCACTGTCCTCCCATTGTTCATCGATTTGCTCGAGTGGGCACCAATAATGTCTCCATTGTGAGACTTGGGGTTTTTTTTTTTTGCTTTTTGGGTCACACCTGGAAATGCACAGGGGTCAGTCCTGGTTCTACACTCAGGAACCACCCCTGACTGTGCTCAGGGTACCATATGGGATGCTGGGAATCGAACCCGAGTTGGCCGCATGCAAGGGGAATGTCCTACCCTCTGTGCTATCACTCCAGCCCCCCATTGTGAGACGTTGTTAGTGCTTTTGGCATATCGAATACGCCACGGGGAGTTTTCCAGGCTCTGCCGTGTGGGAGGGATACTCTTGGTAGCTTGCTGGGCTCTCCGAGAGGGACAGAGGAATCAAACCCGGGTCAGCTGCATGAAAGGCAAATGCCCTACCTGCTGTGCTATTGCTCCAACCTATGTAAAGAAGTATATGCCGTAATGTTAATGTGCATGAGGACAATTATGGAATCAGAAACATGCAAACATGGGATAGGAAAGTCAAGAAGAAACCTGCAAGGACAGTACATGCAGTACCCTGAATTGGAAGAACTGGTACAAGCTGGTGATTTCTAAAATATATGTACTTTGTATACATACACACGTATATGCATATGCACAGTATAGTTAAGTATACTACATGTGTGCATATGTTTACGTGAATGGGCACCTGTGTGCTTGTCTTATATTGAGACCTTCGTTTCTAATACCACTGCCCTCAAAGTGAATCTAGGGTTCTTTGAAAACAAAATGGCTTAATTTCAAAGCTGGTAAGGTCAAAACAAGAATAGACCTTTTTGTGGTTTTGTAAAGTAAGGAAGAGAGCAAGCAAATGATGGTAGAATCCAAAGATCCTGGAGCCAACTTGAAAGGCTTCTACCAATTTGAACACAAAGGTAAGAAAATAGTAATTAGTAACCACTGAAAATAGGGAATTCATGAGCCCATACTACGTAGACGAATAAATAAACAAATGGAGGGTGAGGCTCTGGCTTCCAGCAGAGTGCTGGTGTGCCAACTTGTAAATATGGGAGGGAATACTCAGTTGAAAAACCATCATGTTGCAATCATCACAGTAAACACTCCATCTGGCAACAAGGATCCCTGCTAAAACATGAGTGCCGGTGAGATGGGCTTGATTTAGAAGGCGGGATATTTGCATAGTCAAAGGACCACTGCACAATTACTAGTTGCAAAAAAAAAAAAAAGAAGAAAAAGAAAAAATAGCAGCCTCATGGTCAAGACATTGAGCAACACATGAGACCTGGTACTTAAAGTTAACTGTGTGTCTCCCGATGTGATACCCCGAGAAGGTCACAGTATCTGATTTAATATTCCAGTCATTAATGCATACTTGGAACACCATCTCCTGTAGGAGGAAACATTAGACAAACTCGAAATGAGGAAGAATATAACAGAAATGCAAGGGCATTTTTTTAAATTGTCATCAAATAACAAAGAGAGACTGGGAGAATGTTCCATCTTAAAAAGGTTAGACGTGACAAAGACAATACCCAATCGTAGATTATAAAGGACAACATTGGTCCCACTATATCTTATAAAGAATATTAGTGAAAACATGTATTGTGAATTGATAAGTTAGATAAAAGTGTCTATGTTAACTTTTTAAGTGGACAACTGTACTGTGGCTATGTCAGATAGTTTTCTTATTCTGAGAAAAATGTACAGAAGAATATAGGATGCAAGGTCATGATGAGTGCAATTTACTCTTAAATGGCTCGAGAAAAGTAGAGAAGATAAATAAAATGGGGCAAGCTATTAATGGGTGAATCTGAGTAAAGGGTATATGGTATATGGTGTTCCTGTGCAAGCCTTGCAACTTGTCTGTGACTTATTTTTTCGTTTGTTCCTGGGTCACATCAGGTTTAGCTCAGGGCTTTGCCCTGGCTTTGTACACAAGGATCACTCATGGTGGGGCTCGGGGCACCATATGTGGTGCCAGAGTTTGAACCTGGGTCAGCTGGGTACAAGGCAAGTGCTCTACCCACTGTACTATCTCTCTGGTCCCTGGTCTATAATTTGTAAAATTCACACTGTCACTGTCCTCCCATTGTTCATCGATTTGCTCAAGTGGGCCCAGTAACATCTCCATTGGAGACTTTGTTGTTACTGTGTTTGGCATATCGAATACATCACGGGTAGCTTGCCAGGCTCTGCCGTGCGGGTGAGATACTCTCGGTAGCTTGCCGGGCTCTCCGAGAGGGGCGGAGGAATTGAACTCGAGTCGGCAATGTTGGCTGCGTGCAAGGCAAACGCCCTTCACAAAAGGAAAATAATACTCCTCCTGATATCACTGAGACTTGGTGAGATGGGGTTTCCAATTGAATCATGGTATGGACATTTACACCTGGTTTAAAAGGAAATCCGAACAATGGAAATCTAAGAACTTGAGTTTAAATGAATGACGAAAGTTTGCATGAGAATGAAAAAAGGGGTAATAGAGGTTGTAAGCAGGATATAGAGCCCGGCAAGCTACCGAGAGTATCTTGCCCACGCGGTAAAGCTTGGCAAGCTCCCTGCGACATATTCGATATGCCAAACACAGTAACAAGTCTCACAATGTTACTGGGCCCACTCAAGCAAATTGATGAAGAGCGGGAGGACCGTGACCATGACCGTGATGGGGGGGTCTATTGCAGTGCTGGGGCTCAATCCCAGGCCTGCACACATGCAATGTAAGTGCTGTACCACTGACCTTGCTGTGGTAGCATATTCTAGGCTATCTGGCCAGACAGAGTTTACTGCCAGTGCTGTTGTACTATGAAACAAAATATTAAATCCAAGGAAAGATCTACAGGAAAGGGGAAGGCATTCATTTCAATATATATTGAAACTCTCATGAAGCTAATAGCATCATCTGAAGCATTACTTGTTAGCCAAGATTTCAAATCTTAGAAGAGGTAGGAGGTAGTTAAAAATAAAGAGAGTTCAAAGAAATAAGGACACCACTTCTCCAGCCTAAATTTTTACAAGAAAGGAACAAACTTCTGATTATAGAAGTTATAATATCTATAAAATTATTATGGAAGCTGGAACAATAGTAACGCAGGTAAGGCACTTGCCTTGCAAGCTGCCCACCAGGTTCAATCTCTAGCATCCTATATGGTCTCCTGAGCATTTCTAAGAGTAATTCATGAATGCAGACCTAAGCCCTGTCTGATGTTGCCCTTAAACAAAACAAAACAAAACAGAAGTTTTGTTACTGTTGAATAATGAAAAAAATCATGGAGATGGAATAGATATTAGGAAAACAATGGAAGGGATTTAAGTATAACAACAAAAAACAACACTGTCGTGCCATTGTTCATCTATTTGCTCGAGCAGGTCCAGTCATGTCTCCATTTTGAGACGTGTTACTGTGTTTGGCATTGCTGCACGGGTGAGATAGCTTGCTGGGCTCTCAGAGAGGGGTGAGGAATCGAACCTTGGCTGCACGCAAGGCAAACGCCATACTGCTGTGCTATGGCTCTAGCCCTTAAGTATGTTAATTGGAGAAATACAATTAACATTCAAGTGATATTCACATGTTTAAATTTTTGCATAAATGTAAGAATCAGGAACAAAAACACGTACTTTTGGGTATTTTTATCTTCAGTGCTCTATTTTCAAGCATCAGAGAGAAGGTATTTTTTAAAGAACAAATATAATTTTTTGCTTGATGAAAATATACTCTTTATACTCATTAAAATTATTCAGAAAGAGAGCTGGAGCAATAGCACAATGAGTAGATGTTTGCCTTACACGTGGCCGACCTGGGTTCGATTCCCAGCATCCCAAATGGTCCCCTGAGCAGTGCCAGGGGCGATTCCTGAGTGCAGAGGCAGGAGTAACCCCTGTGCATCAGTGGGTGTGACCCAAATAGCAAAAAAAAAATATTCAGAAAGAAAATAAATAAACTTAAAAAAGAAATTATAATATCTATACACAATGGAATCATACTCAGCTATAAGAAAAGACAAAATCTTGCCTTTTGCTACAACATGGATGAAACTAGAGGGTGCTATGTTGAAGTGAAATAAGTCACAGGGAGAAAAACAACTACCAGATGGATCTCATCCAAATACACTCTATAAAGAAACAAAACAAGGGGCTGCAGCAATAACACAGCAGGTAGAGTGTTTGCCTTGCATGCGGCCGACCCAGGTTCAACTCCTCTATCCCTCTTGGAGAGCCTGGCAAGCTACCGAGAGTATCTCACCAGCACTCAAAGCCTGGCAAGCTCCCCATGACGTATTCCATATGCCAAAAACAGTAACAAGTCTCACAATTTGTTTTGGGACATTATTGGTGCCCGCTCAAGCAAATTGATGAACAACGAGAGGACAGTGCTACAGTGCTATCTGTTTAGATTCAAGTTGTTTTTTTTAAAAGGTCTACTGAGTACAGAACCAGGAGTAACCCCTGTGCATCGCCGGGTGTGACCCAAAAAGCAAAAAAAAAAAAATCTTAAAAGAAACAAAACAAGAATCCAAAGAAAACAAACCCTTGGATTCTTACAATAGAACTGAGGTTACCAAGTGGGGGGTAAGGAGAGGAGTTGTGGGTTGGGGAGGATCAGGAAGGGCTAAAAGTGGCATCAGGAGAGTCATGGAGGGACTGGCACTTTGGTAGTGGCAGTGCAGTAACTTGGTACATCAAAAGCATAAATAGTAGCACTATTATAACTATGTTATCTCAATAATAAATGAAATTTCAGAATAAAAGTGATATTCTTGGCATATTTTTGGAGGGGGGAAGGTTTGGGGACACATACTGCTGTGCATACGGGAATATATTGAATTATGAGATCGAACTCAGGTTAGTTGGATGCAAGGCAAGTGCCTTACATACAGTACTATTTCTCTGGCCCCACAACTTTCTGATTGGCTATAGTGCCAAGATAAAACAATTTTTATTGAGACATGAATAAAAAGAAATATCAAAGGAAAAGAACTCTCAGACCTGCTGTATAGTTAAGAGAAGAGGGTCAGATGGGCAGGTAGGATGGAGACCCACTCTCTTCATAAATATTTATTCCCAGTAAAACAGTTAGATCTTATTTGCCCATTGCCATTTAGCAAATAACGTCCCCTGGTCTATTTATTCCTCTCTACCAATTATCAGAGGCAGACATTAGGCAGACCGGGAGGGAAGGAAAATATATTGAAAGGCAGAGAGATGCTGGAAGGAGTCAAAATGAACCAGATTAAATGTTAATATGGTTAAAGCTGTATTTCAGTTGAGATACTTGTCTAGCAACAGAATCGGGAATACCTAGGGATCTCAGCCAACTCTGCTTTGTGCACACTTAGTAGACAATGTTTCACTAGAAAAAATAAATATAGGACAAGGGGTCAGCACCTAATTTTGAGAAAAACAACCCTGCTTTCTTCTATGGGGGGAGTGCTGGGTTCACGTACCAGACAGCACATTGATCAATAGCAATGTGTCCATAAAAAGAACACCAAGACAAGAGAGGGCGTGAACCTTGTCACAAGAGGAAAAATTCAAAGAATTGTGCCTGGGAAAGAATAAATCTAGAAGGGACATAAGAGATAGGTAAACTTATCTGAAGAGTTGTCCTATGAACAATGGATTAATTAATGAGGCACAGAAAGCCAGGACTAGGACCAATTGGTAGCCGTGATTTAATTCTAGGAGCATTAAAATGAAGCATGTCTCAAGGCTTATATCCAAATTTTGTCTCTATGAACTTAGAGATCTTAACAAATTCATATAACTTGAGTCTCAGTTTCTTAATCTACAAAACAGAATTCAAATCTATTTCATGTGTACTAAATGAAATACAGTATGCAGGAGTGACTGCAATTAGCAAAGAGTAATGGGCATGCCAATTTTTGTTGTCAGAACCATTTGCTAGAAGGAGGAATTGGGCCTTTTATAAAGAAACACTGACAACTATTTATTGCTGCACAACAATTCAACGAGCCATTTTGGTTAGATGTGCACATTCCATCACAGAAGCGTTCGGGCAGAGTCAGACCGATCATCTACAAGTTGTTTGGTAATAAAGCTTAGACTCAGTAACTTCCAAGGTTCCTTCCAATTCTGACTTGCCATCCTATTACTGTGAAGAATCATCTTTTTTTTAAACAAAGCTAGATATCTTTGAAAAAAACAGATAACAACCATTAGATCTTTGTTACTTTGGGGACTTATTCCCGAATTCCCAGGAAGCAGCATACTTTCTGACTGTGACTTTCCAGAGCAGAAGAGACAGTAAAATCATTATGGCCAAGAGGTTTTGGAGCTTGTGATCTCATAGCCTAAAGAAACTGCTAGTAACACAGTTGCTAGGCCAACTGGCTTATATTAGAGATGCACGAGGCAAACGTTTTTTATAATATGACCCCTAAAAGTTCCCATCCCCTCCCTCAGTCAGCAATCTTCTCCCTGAATTTCCAGGAAGCAGGAAAAATGGTCTACAGGAGGTTCTTATGGGGAAACTTTCATGAGGCTTGTGAAGACAGATGCACAAAAACACACAAAAATAAAGATTACAGAACATGCTGACTTGGATCTATGTACATGCCATTTTAGAGTGGGACTAAGTTCCAGTCTTGAATCTGAGTTTAAATTGGCTTTCATTCCCACAGTGGATGGAAAGGAATTGGCAGCTGGATCCCTCTTGTCTGGCCAAAATTCCTACTGTGCCCTGTATTGCTCAAAATTGATCAGAAAGGTGAATTTGAACATTTAAGTTAAAATATCATTCATTTTGTAGTCCCCTGAGATGCTGTCTATATTTGCTTTCATTTTTAGAGGAAAGGGAGACGGGGAAAAGGGAAGAATGACTGTGGCTGGAGACATATCAGTGTATTTGCTAATGAAAAGGACTACAGCAAAGGAAATAGTAGGAAGTTAAATGTATAAATAAATGTATTGTACCGTGATAGTACAGTGGAACAAGAGAGAAAGTGAGAGATGTTCACACACATATTAGCAATGATGGTGGTTGAGCTTCCCCCAAATTAATTCTGAGCTGTGTGATGACTTGGGAGAGTGAAATGATATGGATGAATGAAGAAAAGGGTCAGGATTATATAAAGCAATGGGAGTGGCCACAGTGATTGCCCAGGAAGTGAAATACACAACTTGCTTGTCTGTCATTAGTCAGGTTTGTACAATGTCCTGAGGGAGCTTACACTGTCTATGAAACACTATACTAAACAACCTAACATGTCTTACAAACACTTGCCTCGTGGCGCCCCGGCCAATCTTGAGCAGCTTACTGCTTCCTTACATTTCCTTATCTCTGGCCACAGGCCCCAACTACACCATGACTTACTGATGAAGTTAGCCTGGCCAGTGAATATGGTGTACTGAAGCTCATAGGAGCTGATGCTGAATTCATCATCTGAGATCCAGTGGACGGTAATGGTGTCGTGGGAGGCAGTACAGAGTTCCTCTCGGATAGATGGTGGGTTTGGGGCTGAAAGGAAAGGTGGAGAAGGTAAGAAAAGCATATTCTCTGTCCTGGAATATTTACAATTGTTACAAGTGCTGACTGACCCAAAGTCTTTTGGGGAAAGATTTGCAAGCATTCAAGCATGCTGTCAAGACAGTCTAATCTGCCTGTAAAAATACATACGTATATATTTGAGCAAAGTGGTCTCACAATTTTCTCATTAGATGACAATCAATATATTTTTAGTGTGGGGAAGGTGTATCCTTGGTTGATTTGGGGGACATAACGGGCAGTGCTCAGGGCTACTTCTGGCTCTGGGATTGTTTCCAGTGGTGCTCAAGGGGCCATGTGGTATGGGGAATTGAACCTGGGGCTCCCACATGCAAAGCATGTCCTTTGAGACAAGCAGTGTCTAGAAAGTCAGGGCTCCTTCCTGGAATTTTTGGCCAACCAGACAGGCGGTTCAATGTGAGAACTGGAGGATGTGATGCTGCTTGGGCCCTGCAACACCAGGCTGGGAAACTCTGGTGGCACTTGCGGTCTCAAGGGTTATACTCAGTGATGCTCAGGGATTGAATCTGGGTTGGCCATATGCAAAATATGCATCTTAACTCCTATACTATTTCTCTGGTACCTCATTTTTTAAAATTTTAAAGTGTTTTATTATATTTTTGGGAGTATATCAAATCCAGATTAATAGGATTTTCCTCATTTGTAAATGTGGTGACAATTTTCTCAGATTTTTGTGAGGATCAATGATATAAAATTAATATATAGTCTGGCACAGGGTATTTGATGAATGAGAGCTATTTAAATCTTTTACTAAATATACACAAAAGCACATAGTTATTCTGTATTTTTTCTCATGAAATGATCTTTCAGTAATCCTGAAGTACTTGCAATCAGACAATTGTAGCCCTCATTTTCTAAAATTATCTGCAAGTTATTTTTTATAATTTTCTTCCTACTATGCTAATTCTTCAATTTACTTAAAACCATTTGAGTGGAACCTGTACCATGTGGAGCATTCTCTAATGTTTCCTAATTGCCACCCGAGTCCTACCTCCATAAAAGTGATATTCTGTGGGATCACAGAGATAGTACAGTGGCTAAGGCACTTGATTTGCCTGGCACCAACCCAGGTTCAATCTCCAGCACTGCATATGGTTTCCTTAGCCTTACCAAAAGTGATCCCTGAACACAGATCCAGGAATAAGCCCTGACCACAATAAGGTACAGCTCCAAAATGAAAAGAAAGTGATACCGAAAGACTTATATGGAAAATTCACCAGTAATTTAGCTTTCTACCTTAAAATATATGTGGGGTATATACTTAAAGGTAAATACAATATATATCTATATGTATTTATATGTATATATAATCTACCTCCAGAAATATTTGACATATCATTTTTATTTTCCATTACATAAACCAAAATAATTCAACGGTAAAAGTACATGTGCCACTGAAAAGGTTAGAAATGCACTTTGTTATAAATATTGTCCTTTTCTGATTATTATTTTAGAGTAAAAGCACATGAAAAGAAAGGGACTAAAATAGTAAGGAAAGCACAGTATTTCCACACCTGTCAAATAATCGAGCCCTTCCAGCAGTTTCTTTTCTCTGGAAAAATCCAAAGCAAAATTTTCAAAGGCATCATTAAAATTGATGTCTGGAATCAGAACTTGAGAGGATGCAGTTGCCATAGCGACCCTGGAAAAGAGAAGAGTACATCAATATACTTCAAAATAGTTCTGAAACCTTTATCCAGTGTTTGATTTCTGATTTTAAAGGGTGAAATAAACAATGCGTAGGGCTTGATTCATTAAGTGAAAAATATCTGTGCTTTTCCAGTGGAAACCATTTCAATTTTAATCATGAGGAACCAATTAAGTTAGAGCATATTTATTCGCATATGTTCATCCCTTAAACATACTCCTCTATCCTGTCTTAATTTTGAGAAGTAAATAGAGGATTTTTTCCCTTCTGCATCATTTTCCATCTGGCAGGCAGCATCAAAACTAGACCTCTGAAGACAGGCTTGGTAGGAGCAATTTGACAGATCTTTTTTCTTCTGGGTTTTATGATAAACAAAAAGTCGGCATACTGTGGCTGTGTTCAAACCTTTCCCGCAATACTGTACTCTGTTGGATCCTTTATAACATTTACATCTAATGTTGTTATTCATTTTCCCAACTAATTCAAAGATTCTCGAGAGTTTAAACTTTGTATATTTTATCTTCCGTGGCCTCTAACATACTGTTGAACACATAGTGAACAAATAACTGTATGAATAACTTATATAACTGTATATATTAACATAATCACAGTCACGGTCCTCCCGTTGTTCATTGATTTGCTCGAGCAGACCCAGTAACGTCTCCATCATGAGACTTCTTGTTACTGTGTTTGGCATATCGAATATGTCACGGGGAGCTTGCCAGACTTTGCTGTGCAGGCGAGATACTCTCGGTAACTTTCCTGGCTCTCCGAGAGGGGCGGAGGAACCGAACCTGGCTTGGCCAGGCCAGCTCTGTGCAAGGCAAATGCCCTACCACTGTGCTATCACTCCAATCCATTAACATAATATGGGGCACTTAATATATACAAGGCAGTATGCATGTACTTTACATACATTTTCTAATATGTTTTTTACCATAGCCCTATGGACTTACTAAGCACAATTAATGTGCAAGACACTAGGGACAGACAGAATAATATTTGGTCATGAGTTGCCCTTACACTTAGACCATAGATCACGAAGGAGAAAGGTATTAATAAGGCAATAGAGGTTTTACTAAATATTACTTGATTTTCATAGTGGCCTCCCCAGCAGAGTTTGGGACCACCAAAACCACTCCCAGTGATATTTAGCAATGGTGTGGGCCTGATGGCTCAGTGCTCAGGCCTAGTGATACAGTGCTGTCTGGGCTCATAAGTGCCAGGGAACCTCCTGGCAATGTTTGCAAGGCCATGACATGCTCTGGTTCAGTCCTGGGTTTTGCACATGGGTTTCACCCCCGCTTTGCACTACCTTCCTGGACACCACCCAATATCGAAAGAACTTAAGCCTAGTCTCCTCAGATTCTTCAAAAAATTCCAAGAAGGAACACTTCCAGACATATTTTATGAGGCCAACAATATTCAGATGCCAAAACAGCCAAGGACATTACCAAAAATGGAAAACCACAGTCCATTATTTTTAATGAACACAGATGTAAAATTCTCTAAAATTACTAGTAAATTGAATTCAACAATGCTTCAAAATGAAAATGCCACATGACAAAGAGGGACGTGCTTAGTCCAGGCAGGCAAGATAAAATACACTACGATCAATGTAATACACTATGTGAATAAAAGGAAAGGAAAAAATCATATGATATTAATAGATGCTGAGATTTGGTGGATGGTTGGAAGTAGTTACAGCTGGAGAGAGACTTTAAGGTATCTAGGCATGAGCTGATAGTAAAGTGATGATAGGAGAGCAAACAAAACAGAAAGTTAATTTATAAAACAAAAACGGCCAGCATATATTTAAAAATCCAACTACATGAAAAGCCAAAGAATGGTCAGAACAATAGTAGGTAGTACTATTAGAACTAATAGTGGATAGGGTGCTTGCCTTTCACGCAGCTGGCTTAGGTTCAATCCCTAATATCCCATATGGTACCCTAAGCACCATCAAGAGTGAGCCCTGAGTGCAGAGCCTGGAATAAGCTGGGTGTGACCCAAACACACAAATAAACAGACAACAAGTCCATGACATATTAAGTTTCAAATGAGGATATAAATTTCAAATGAGTATATAATGCAAAACATGTAGTATTCAAACCTTATGTTTGAACACTATACTCCTAAATGTAAATACTAGCTGTAGACTAAGAATGAATTAAATTATATTGGATTGGAGACAGTACAGAAAGAGAGAGAGCAAGTGAGAGAGAGAAGTATCTATCATACAGACAGGCTGGGGAGGGTGGCAGGAGGGAAACTGGGAACACTGGTGGTAGGAAATGTACACTGGTGAAGGGACATTGTATGACTGAAACCCAATCGTGTACAATTTTGTAACTGTGTTTCTCATGGGGATTCAATAATATTTTTATTTTAAAAAGTAGTAAAGAATAAATTATATTGGATTTTATGTGAGAGTGTCTGCTTGTGCACCTTTGTGCTCCTTTATTTGAATTCTATTAGGTATAGAATGTCATTTATAATGAGAGTGAATGCTTTTCCCAATCAAAAGTCCATTTTAACTCATTGCTTTGCCTTAATGTAATACAATGAATAATGATGAAGAAGAATATCAGAATCTCTGAGAGACAAGTACTATTTATACTTAAGTTGGGAATATGGTTTGCAAACCATACCACATATATCTCTCTGTTCCTCTTATGTCATAGGCTATACCTGTGCCTCTGGAAAAATAAAAAAGGTTTAGAGAGAGATTTTGAAGTCATGAACACCTAGAACAGAACTGAAGCACTGAAAGAAAGTACAGTTATAACAGGAATCATTTATACTGGGAAAAGAAAATAACAAGTTCCAGGGAACATAGCATCGAAACGATGGGTCAAAGAAGAGCTGCTCAAAAAGACAAAAGTAAGCAGAAGGTAGGTAGCAAGAAAACCAAGCATATTCAGGGAAGCAAAAAGCAGAGAGTTAAAATAAAGCCAGTCTGTAGCAAGAGGCTATTGAGAAATCAATGTAAGACCAAAACAGTAAAATCAAACCAAAAACATCTAGTATATAAAAACAAGGTGTTCATTTGTTGAACTTGGAACAATATTTTCAATAGTGCAGTTGTAGAAGACATTTTAAAAGAGTTGAAGCGTGGGGATGATTAAATTATTATAAATATACATATATACATATATTCTGTTGAGACGGAAGCGGTCATGGAAGCCCTAGCCAATCAGGGAGTACAAACTCAATACATCAGGATCCTTTGTGAGCTCTATTGCGGATTCACTACCAAGATCTCACCATTCTACAAAGAAGTAATCATCCATATCAAGAGAGGAGTTCGGCAGGGTGATACCATTTCACCAAAACTCTTCAGTGCCACCCTCGAGAACATCATGCGACGACTAGAATGGGAAAACATGGGAGTGAAGATAGATGGTCGGCAACTACACCACCTCCGCTTTGCTGATGACATCATTCTAATAACACCAAACATCAGCCAAGCAGCACAAATGCTTGCGGACTTTGACCGTGAGTGTGGAAAGGTTGGACTACAGCTGAATCTTACGAAGACAATGTTTATGAGAAACAGCCTTGTTCCTGACGCTCCATTCGCTCTCAACGGAACCACCATCTCCGAATGCAACAGTTATATATACTTAGGTCGAGAAATCAACATGATGAATGACCTGGCACCTGAGTTACGCAGGAGGAAGAGAGCGGCTTGGAATGCCTTCAAGAGCATTGAAGAAATAACTAAAAGGACAAAGAACCTCCAACTACGAGCACATCTCTTTGATTCCACTATTCTTCCTGCATTAACATATGCCTCAGAGACCTGGACCCTACGAAAACAGGATGAGAACACTATTCGGGTCTCTCAAAGAGGAATCGAAAGAACTATGCTTGGAATATCACGATTCACTCAAATGAGAGATAGAATCCGGAGTTCTGATCTTCGTCAACGCTCAAGAATCAGAGACGCTGTCTCATTTGCCAAGACATCAAAAATCAGATGGGCTGGACATGTAATGAGGTTTACAGACAACCGCTGGACTAGAGCCATTACTGATTGGATTCCACGAGACATCAAAAGATCACGTGGACGCCCACCTATAAGATGGTCAGACTTCTTCGTCAAGACCCTAAATGATCGGTTTGAGGCTCTACATGTTCCTAAAACGAACAGATACCATTGGGCTACGCTAGCACGCAACCGTGATGAATGGAGACGTTACTGGCACCCGCTCGAATAAATCGATGAATAACGGGGATTAAGTGATTAAGTGATTAAGTGGTACATATATTATGAAATGTGATATGTTCTCCCTTCCGAAATACAACATGCCATCTCGTTGGTAAAGAAACAAAGAGCACCTGGCCCAGACAAGATCAGACCTGAACACCTGAAGAACTTACCATCAGTACTCATCAATACATTGGCTCGGCTCTTCACACGCTACCTGTCTGAATGCAAGTTTCCATCCCAATGGAAAACCAGCAGGACTGTACTACTATACAAGAAGGGAGACATCCACGACATTGGCAACTATTGCCCGATCTGCCTATTGTCTGTCATCTACAAACTGTTCACTCGAGTCATCCTGAATAGGATTAGCAGAACACTAGATGAAGGACAACCATGTGAACAAGCCGGATTCCGAAAAGGATTCAGTACAATCGACCATATCCACACGATTACTAAGCTCATTGAGGTTTCTCGGGAGTTCAAGATGCCGCTCTGTCTAACGTTCATTGATTTAAAGGAGGCCTTTGATTCTGTTGAGACGGAAGCGGTTATGGAAGCCCTAGCCAATCAGGGCGTACAAACTCAATACATCAGGATCCTTCGTGAGCTCTATTGCGGATTCACTACCAAGATCTCACCATTCTACAAAGAAGTAATCATCCATATCAAGAGAGGGGTTCAGCAGGGTGATACCATTTCACCAAAACTCTTCAGTGCCACCCTCGAGAACATCATGCGACGATTGGAATGGGAAGGAATGGGAGTGAAGATAGATGGTCGGCAACTACACCACCTCCGCTTTGCTGATGACATCGTTATAATAACACCAAACATTAGCCAAGCGGCACAAATGCTGAACGACTTTGACCGTGAATGTGGAAAGGTCGGACTACAGCTGAATCTTACGAAGACAGTGTTTATGAGAAACAGCCTTGTTCCTGACGCTCCATTCGCTCTCAACGGAACCACCATCTCCGAATGCAACAGTTATGTATACCTAGGTCGAGAAATCAACATGATAAATGACCTGGCACCTGAGTTGCACAGGAGGAAGAGAGCGGCTTGGAATGCCTTCAAGAGCATTGAAGAAATAACTAAAAGGACAAAGAACGTCCAGCTACGAGCACATCTCTTTGATTCCACTGTTCTTCCTGCATTAACATATGCCTCAGAGACCTGGACCCTACAAAAACAGGATGAGAACGCTATTCGGGTCTCTCAAAGAGGAATCGAAAGAACTATGCTTGGAATATCACGATTCACTCAAATGATAGAATCCGGAGTTCTGATCTTCGTCAACGCTCAAGAATCAGGGACGCTGTCTCATTTGCCAAGACATCAAAAATCAGATGGGCTGGACACGTAATGAGGTTTACAGACAACCGCTGGGCTAGAGCCATTACTGATTGGATTCCATGGGACATCAAAAGATCACGTGGACGCCCACCTACAAGATGGTCAGACTTCTTCGTCTAGACCCTGAATGATCGGTTTGAGGCTCTGCATGTTCCTAGAACGAACAGATACCATTGGGCTACGCTAGCACGCAAACGGGATGGATGGAGACGTTACTGGCACCCGCTCGAGTAAATCGATGAATAACGGGGATTAAGTGATTAAGTGATGAAATGTGATTAAATGACAAAGAATATAAATAAACCTATGAGGGCAAAGAAAAATGGAGAAAACAATGCCATTCAGTAACAGACCATCAAAAGTGTCTGGAAGCAAGAGAAATGGATGCATGGTAACCAATATCACACCAGAGAAAGGTGGGCCAGGAAGCCAATGACATCAAACTGATTTCATGTCACAAACAATTTATAGTTTGCACGAGGAACATCTAGAATTCCAGAACCACGGAAGCACAGACTACCCAGGCTCCTTCCTCATGCTGGCGAGAGATGTGAAGTTTCTGTCTGCTTACATTTGACACTATGTACTTTTAAAAAGTCTTCAATCCTTCAGCTTTTTCCTTTCCTGACTCTCAGAACAGCAACTTGTGCCATTCATTGCCTAATAGAAGTAGGATTTGAGTGAATTCCTTCTATGGTAAACTGACCAAGGAGAAAACACCTAAGAACTGAGATGGGCTCTCCACAAAAATCTGCCATTATAAAAAAGTTGACAAAGCAGCAAACTGTCCCCATTCCCTTGATATCTGACTGACTTTTTAGGTCTTAATTTTAAACAGACAGCCCAGAGGTTATCAGACAGACAGAACTGAGGAATCAAGAAATTTGTAGGAAAACCAAGACAATGACAATATAGACCTTAGAAGAAACATATTTTCTTATTTGTATTTCGTGCCACACCCAACCAGATGCTTAGGGCTTACTCTTGGCTCTGTGGTCAATGATCACTTCTGGAAGGGCTCCAAGGACCATACTTGGTGCTGGGGATTGATATCAGGTCATCTATATTCAAGGCAACTGTTCAACCCACTGTATTCCTCACTACCCCTAGAAGAAACTTTTCAAATGATAATTAACACCCTCTAGAGAGAGATAGAGTACAGTAGATACGACAACTCCCTTGCATGTGGCTGACTCCGATTCCATCCTTGCAACCACATAGGGACTCCTAATTCTCAACAGGAGTGATCCCTGAGTGTAGAGCCAGTAGTATGCCCTGAGACCACGAGGTGTGGCCCAAAACCAAATAAAAATCAGAGGGAAAATCTAAGATGGCCAACATATACTTAGAATCCCAGAAAGAGGGGTGATACAAAATAAAGTTGAGGGGGATATTAACAAATAATATTCTTAAATTTCCCAGAAAAGATATTCACTACTGTTCATATTGAAAGACCCACTGAGTGCCTAACAAAAAACTGCATGATAAAATACCAAAGGTATGCCATATCTATCTCGGCAAGATTTTAGAAAAACAGCTTTGAAGACCTCAAAAATGTTGATTTTAAAATACAGGTCATATCCAAAATAACATAGATCAAATAATGGTATAGTCCCCTACACAACAGTGGAGGCTAGGAAATCCTATCCAATGTACAAATAAATTTAAAATAGTTTTTTGATTTAAAATAATTGTAGGGGTCAGAGAGAGAACTCAATGGGCTGAGCACATGCTTTGTGTTCAGGAGACCCAGGTTTGACCCCCTCCCCCCAACACCACATGATCCACTAAGTATCACCAGGAGGGAGCCAGGAGCAACAACCCAAGCATGATGTATGTGGACTGAAAACAAACAAATAAGTCTTAAAATTGTCACTTCCCTTTTACTCTTTCTTAGGATGCTCTGGACAATTGTCTTAACAAAACCAAAGCGGTTCTGGTCTGGGAAATAGGACATAGTTAGGGTGAATGGTTAGCTTGTGCCTCACCCAGATTCGATTTCCAGTCTTCTGAATGTCCCCAGATATAGCCCTGATGGCCCCCAGAAAGAAAGGGCTGGTTCAGACGATCTTTGGATGTGGTATATCCTCAGACCTTCATATTGAACCTTCGGTTCAAGAGTTGTCATGAGTGGTCCCCAGACCCACTGAGCATATTATTTGGGAGACTCCTCAAAATGTATATAGCAATGAAACTATATAGCACCCAGTAACGATTAAATTCTCAATGTTTGGCATCCAATCACAACTTAGCAGCATGCAAAGGGGTAAGAAAACACAAGCAATAATGAGAAAAGACAGCTAACAGAAACTAACCCAGAACTGACCCAGATGTCAGCATTAGCAGACAAGGACACTAATAGTAACTCTAACTGTATTCCATATGCCCAAAGAGAAAAAGAGAAGGTTAAGTATGTTAAGAGATAACAAGAGGCTGAAGGGATGATAGATCAAAGGATTGAAACACATGCAAATCGCATGTGATATCCTAGGTTCAGTCCCTAACACCACGTAGTGTCCAAAACACCACCAGACATCATTCCTGATAACAGCAGAATGTGGCCCCAAAACAAAACTAACAAGCAAAACTGAACAGAATTGGACTTCTCATAAGAGAAGTGGCAGAAAAATAATTACAGAACTGATCACTGGTAATTTTCTGAATTAGCAAACATTAACAATTTATGGATAAAACTGAAAATAAATAGCATCAGGTGGCTATTGCTTAGAAGGTTCATGCAAATAGTAACAGAAATAGAGCTGAATTGTTTATCTTTATTGTAACAGTTTAGCTCCCTGGGTTTGAATTCTGTCTCTACTGAGCATGAGTGGGAAGGTGACAGAGTTGGAAGTAGTAGATGTGTTCAGAAGACTTGAAGTAGCCATTATGGGTAACAGGAAAGAAAAACAGACCATCTTAAATATATAGACTAAAGTTAGAAAATGGGATTCTTTTTCACATGATTTAAGTATAATTCTGAGTGATGGAGTGGTTTAGCATGACAGCCCTGGAAGCAAGTGGATGGTATGAAGCAACGTGAGAGACGCTGTAGGAGAAACCAGAAGATTAGACAGCCAGAGTACTCTAGGGGGCAATGACATGGATGGTGCTAGTGTCTCCCTGAACAATGGTAGAATTAACAGAAGGGAATGCTGAGTCTAGAGGCAAAGTCTTCAGTACGAGAGAGGGAGTGAAGTGGTCAAATCTGGCATGAGAATCCTGTAGTTCTTGATGTCTGAGTCATTTGCTTAGAAATGTTTCACATTTTCCTTCAGACCATGGATTCTTCTTTATAAAGATTTTTAATTATAGTTTAAGTAATAGGGTTATAGTAGTTTCTGGGTAATGAATAGTTTTGTTCATTTTCTGGGCCACACCAAGAGGTGATCACAGCAAACTCCTGGTGCTATGCTCAAGGATCACAATCCTGGCAGATTTGGGGGACATATGGGGTGCCAAAGATCGAAACCGAGTCAGCCAGCCACATGCAAGACAAGTACCCTGCCCACTCTATTATCTCTCTAGACCCTAGTTTCTGGTATGGATGTACAAAATTATGGCACAACCCTGCTACCAAGGTGCTCATGGTACCTCATCTCCAGTTCAAAGTTACTACCCCCCATACACATTATTTGTTGACTGGCAGTTATGGTTTTCTTTTTTTACTTCCTTTAGCACCACCAATGTGTTCCAGACCCTTCTCCTATGTTCCTGTATAACTTCCAGGCGGCCTATTTGTTCCCTCCACTCCTGGTACTCTCAATAGGCCATGGATTCTTTTTTTTTCCATTTTATTTTCATAAGGTTTTTCACATTAATTGATTACATTCAAATTTTCAGCACCAATCATACCACCATTACACCTTCACACTATCATTATTTCGAATTTTCCCACCACCATTCAAGCCTGTCTGCCAGGGGGCAGATGCTAGATAATTTATTTTCTATTGCTTATTGTGAAATATCATGAGAGGTTCCATGGGCGCTTTTGCGGCTGCGCACATCTGAAATTCTAAAATTGTAAATGGTTGGGGTCCAGAGACATCTCTGTAGGGAGCTAATCCATTTTGATATTCTTTTGGGAGTCTCCAGATCAGGGCCGTTGGTGCACTGAGATAGGGCCTGGAGGCAGATCGTGGGCATGACAGACAGGACCCCAAGTGGGCAGGGAGACTGGAAGGGCCGGCCGGTCTCTGCTGCTACAATGTAGGTCATGAATTCTTGACAAACAGTGTATACATAGAAGGAGTTCTAGCTGGGAAAGATCTTCAGTGGCAGCTATAGGCCTAACCAAAACAAAGTCCCCTGAAGCAGCCCCTTTTCACCAGAACAGGCATGTGGACAGAACGAAAAGAACATACCTCTCAGCAATATTTTTTGCCGACTGGAGGAATCGTGCCTGGTCATTTTCTTTTAGAATATGCTCAGCTTGGTTGATGAGAACTGTCGAACGTTCAAGACACTGGCGGCAGTTAGCAACCTGCTGTGCCAACTTTCTCAGTTTCATAACCTTAACAGAATTCACCGAAGGAAAAAAAAAAACAAGACAAAACACCCACACTTAATTAAAAACCATCAAACCTGGAGATCTGCAGTGATTTAGATGCAGTGTAATGAAAACTATTCAGCCAATGATCTTATACTGACCACTCACCTTTTCCCCCCTGCCACCTACATTTGTTTTGCCTGTCCGTCCTTCACCCGCCCATAACCCACTCGCTTGTGTTGCAACAAGGTTAGTCCTGTAGCCTTGGTGATCTACCTTCTCTTTTTATTAATAACATTAATTTATCTTATTCTCAAAGCAATAAATGCTCATTCGAGAACATTTCAAAAATAAAACTAAGAAAAGAAACCCTGCCATGCAGAGATAACTGTTGCTTACATTTTAGTGCCAGCATATTTTCAGATAAATGTTTAATAAAAAAAGTGCCTCCATTTTATGAGCAACTACATTTCTATGTCTATAGTTCTTTTGTGTCTTTATACATACCTGTATGTTCACAGACCTGTATTTTTGAAAATTACAATTCCTGAGTTAGCTGGAATCCCCCAACATGATACCATTTTTTAGCCCTCCAGGCACACGTAACTTCTCATTTTGCACATGTGGCATGAGCTTATAATCATTATACTGACCAGAAGACCACTTACCACTTAAACTTTAACTTAAGCTTAAAACTACTTTGATGTATGAAGGTTCATCCCTGACCTTTTTTTAAAAAATGTTTTTATTGAGTCATTATGACATACAGTTTCAACGCTGTTCATGATCGCGTTTCAGTCATACAATGTTCCAACACCCATCCTTCCACCATTGTACATTTTGCACCACCAATGAGCCCAGTTTCCCTCCCACTACTGAACCCCCCCAAACCCCTGACCTTCTTGATCATGATTTTCAGCTTTCAGGCTATAAGCTTACAAGTTTTCTCGCTCCTCAGCTCTTATCTAGAATCTGTATAAGATTACTAGCTTTTCCTTTCCAGCAATATCTCTTCATTTTTTCCCTTCCATTAGGGCTACTGCTTCTCTAGTTTAGGTCTTCATGAACTCATGCAAAGGATACTTCCATAAGCCTCAGAACTTGTTTCCTTGACTTCAGTATTGTCCCATTTTGATCTTCTCTTCAAATTCATTTCTCCCTTTTTTAAGAAACTAGACGCCTTCCCAATACCTATGAGAGTGAGCCCAAAACTCTTAAGTGGTATCACAGTCCTTGCATATTTCTGACACATATTTCTACCATAACTTTCCCCTTATTTTTCTACATGTGGTGACTTCAAGATCACGATCATCCTGTTGTTTGTCAATTGCCTCGAGCAGGCCCCAGTAACGTCTCCTTCGTCATAGCCCTGAGATTTTCAAAAGTGCCATATTCAAGGCTCTTTCAGGGTTAGGAGAATGAGACCCAACATTGTTACTGGTATTTGGCATATTGGGTATGCCACGGGGAGTTTGCCAGACTCTGCCGTGTGGGCAGGTAGCATTCGGTAACCTGCCAGGTTGTCCAAAGTAAGAATGAGATAATAAAATGTTGTGCGGCTGCAAATGCAGCTGCACACTTCCGGGAGCTGGGTTTTATACATGTGGTGACTTATAATGTACATATAGTAAAGAACTATTATCTAAAGGGTACCACTTGATTTTTTTGCATATAAAAACACCACTGTAACCCCCAATCAGTTCAAGATATAGAACTTTCCCAACACCCCTAGGATGCCATAATCTGTATTGGATTCTCAGCTTTAGGCCCAAAGCATGGTTTCTTGTTTACCTCTCACCCTTCATGCTCATTTCCTTATGCTTTAATGACCCAAATTCAAGCTGGAATTATTGGAATAAAATTCTGACATCTGGAAAGTCACCTCCTCCTGGGCCTCACTGAAATGATGGGCTTTACCTTTGTCTCTTTGATTTTGACAGCAATCATTTGTTTCCTCTGCTGGATGATCTCTACCAACTCGTCACATTCTTCCATAAGTTTTGCCTCATGCATAGCAGTATTCACCTGCCAAGAAAGTCCAGAGTAGTATTACACAGTGATCGCTGTCTTTGTCCCCTGCTGGCTCTCAAAGGTTCGGACTGACAGCTAAGCATGCACAACTTCTTCCATACCTCCCTCATAAGATCCACTCCTAGAAGAAGGGTAGAGATGATGATATTAATGATGCAAGGGCATTGAAGCACCACAGATAGGTAGCTCTCCGGGCCTCTGGTAGATCATGATGGTTAATGGAAGGCTGGGCAGAAGGACAGATGAGATGGGGGCATGTTATTCCCACTGTACAACTCCCTTTCCTCCAGTACCCTGTTTTTCTGCTGTTCTTTTGGAAAGAGGGCAATGAGATTTAAGTAGGCAGAAAAAGAGGAACCCTCTCCACAGACCCAATTTTATTATAACAGTATAATATAATTCTACCATCATAACAAAAATGCCTTTCATTTTCCTTGTTTCCTTCAAATTTTTAAATATATGGATGTGCAACTACACCTTTACATTGACTATCTGTATTTATGGATATATTTCACTTAGCAGTCATCATGTTTTCATAGATACTTCTCACCTTGAGCTGCCCAGTATTGGGAGATTTTCCCACTGTGGAATACTGATGACATCATATTTGCTCTACAGCAAAGTCAGGGCAGTGTTGAAAAAATAATCCGCCGTTAGTTTATTGGGGGAGGGCTCTCAGGAGTCTGGGGGTCACTCCTGAAGATAACTGGCCCACCTAGATCTGTTGGTGTTTTCGGGTCAAGCAGTGCTGTGGCCAGCAGGGTTTTATGAAGTGGTGTCAGAGTGAAGGGACACAGGGGACCACGGATTGAACTTGGGGCTTCAACTTTTCCTAAACCCTCTGAGCTATTTCCCCAGTCCAAGACACTATTTTTCATTGTCTTCTCGTGTACTGATTTCTCCTTCTTTCTGTCTTGACTTTTGTTGACATTAGGTGGCATGAAGCTCCAGTGAGTGGTGAAAATGACAACAGAGGTCCTTCAGGGTGTCCAGGTGTAAAGGGCAAGAAAGGAGAAATAAATGTACACCTTTAAAGCACTCAATGTGCCAAGTACCTTATAGGGAATATCTGGCCATTTTTAATTCCCATTTAATAGATGACTTAAGACTCAGAGAATTGGGGGATGGTGTTTTGGGGACACACATAGTGGTGTCCAGGCATCAATTTGGGGATAGTATATGCAAGATGAGCGCCTTCACTCTTTACTGTCTAGTCCCTCAGAGATATTTTTAGTGACATGTTCAATCTCATGCAGCTAAGAAATGGTGAAACAAAAAAAAGAAGTCACAGTCAGTTCTGGGAAGTGAAACCTCTGTACTGCGTGGCAGTGAAGGGTCAGGTCCATTTCATCAACTCACAGAGCAAGAGCAGCCACATAGGAAAACAAAGTAATTCCAGGAAACCATTCAAGGACCATTCAGGCAGAATTCTAGAAGACGGAGGAACAGACAGTGGTTTGCTTGAGAACGCCAAAGCTCGAGGGGCCAGATATGCTTCATTAATGAGGCAAGGCTGCATTTCCAATTGCGGGCCCTCCCCAGCAACAGGTTGCTCCAAATCCTCCACCTCCCTCACCACCCCCGCAACACAATTGCCACCAGACCCAAGTCTCCTCTTTCATCATCTAAGACCCTGGCTGGCCAGTTTTCTGTTTCTTACTTAAATGAGAGAAAATACAGTTTGTCACACAGCAACCTTAGTTTTAGTTTATTTCCACTTTCCAGGGGAGGATGTCTCAATAAAGGCTTCCATAGATCCTTAGTGAATGGAGAGCTCCACTCTGGCCATTCTATTCTTGCTTCTCAGACTCCACACTCTTTTCCTAAATTGAATCAATCTTTCCAAGGCAGACAATGTGGAACTCTTGTGGAACTCTCACTCGTGTGAGAATAAAGAAATTATATACTCAGAGTCTTGCTGAGACTATCTGGAAACTCAGATACCTCTCACTTAAGTGTGTTTTTTGAGGGTCTAGGAGATAGCACACCAGGTAGGGCACATGCCTTGCATGCAGCTGACCTGGGTTTGATCCCCAGCACCTCATATGGTCCCCCAAGCCCCGCGCAAGTGGTAGCTGAGTGCAGAGCCAGTTGTAAATCATGAGTACAGCTAGTTGTAGACCAAAAACAACACAAAAGGAATGTCTTTTTGAAGTACAGCTGGTGTATAGTGCAGAATGGTGCCATGCATTATTACAGGTAACCTGACCCTTGGACTAACCTTTATATAACATTCTTGCTTTACATAACATTCTTGATAAGCCAAGTATTGGTCTAATCAGTTGACATCTATTAGCTATCCCAGTTCTCAAATCCACCCTGTGAGGCAGGTATCATTTTTCTTATTTGACAAATGGGATAAACCCCAATAAAGTGACTCCGTGACTAGCTCAAGGCCACCCAGCTAGAGTATGGCAGAGATGGGACTGGAACCAAAGGAGATGGTGCCTTTAAATCTAACACTCTAACCATTTCTGATCTAGCATAATAAAATGGGACTTCAGTTTCTGTGAACCATGATCTCTTTTGTGCCACCTGTCTTTATTCTGTTACCCTGTGTTCTTTAGTCATCCCTTCAGACCACACACTGTTCCCTATTATAGCTTACACTTACAAGGCGGGGGCTCTAGATCCAGACTGTCCTGGCACCAGAGGATTATTTCCTTGTTTACCAGCCAATTTCTACTTCTCTTTCCAATTCTTGCTCAAAGATCATTGCTTCTGAGGCCAGGAGATAGTACGGTAGTTACTGTGTATGCTAGGTATGCCCCCATTTAGGTTTGATTACTGGCACTGCATAGTCTTTCAACATTGGTGCCCTGGAGGTCTTCAAACACTAGGTAGAGCTCTGGAGGCCCCTAGCACTGCTGTGGTGGCCCAAATAGCCTCAGAAGCACCAGGACCAAACTGCATTACCTCCTCTGGTCCTGTCATTGAACTGACAGCCAGTTGCCAAGAATACTGAAGGGGTCCCTCAGACCTCCTAAGCATCACATGGGAGTCTCCCCTGCCCAAAATCATGGCTTCTGTAATTCTTTCTTTCTAAACTGTTTAACTACAACTGGCTCTCTATATTCCCACTGTGATATATCTATATATCTATATCTATATATGTATATATACACACAGAGACATATATATGGGTGTGGGACTCCGCACCAGGCTGTGGGGCAGGTGAGAGTTCTCCCCACCCCAAGGGACCCAGCCCCAGCAGCCCACCACCACTGGCCAACCACTACCACACTCCAGGCCGCTTTCTGGATGCTCAGGCTGAGCCTCATGCAAGAATGAAGTCCCATGGAACTCACATAATGTGGAACTTTGTGATCTTGGACTCTGGACTCAACGAGACCCGGAACAGAGATCCTCTGTCTGCTTCCCCCAGTCTCCAGTGGCTCAGGAATCACACCCATAAGCCACACCCTGGCATCACCAGATAATCTACTCATTGGCCCCCCCCTCCAGAACTCATGGATGCTCCTCCCAGATGGGAGTATAAAAGGAGGCTCCCAGAACCATGCCACTGGACTCCGTGCCAGGCTGTGGGGTAAGTGAGAGCCCTCCCCACCCCCAAGTGACACAGCTCTGGCAGCCGACCTCAACTGCCCAACCACCACCATGCTCCAGGCCACTTTCTGGACTGCACAGAAGACACTTGTTACCCATCTGTGCCTCTCGGAGAGCCCGGCATGCTACCAAGAATAACCCGCCTATACAGGTAGAGCCTGGCAAGCTCCCTGTGGCATATTCGATATGCCAAATACAGTAACAACAATAGGTCTCCTTCCCCTAGCCCTGAAAGAGCCTCCAATCATTGGGAAAAGATGAGTAAGAAGAAGCTGCTAAAATCTCAGGGCTGGGAGGAACAGACGTTACTGGTGCCCACTCGAGCAATTTGGCGACAAGTGGGATGACAGTGATACAGTGATATATGGGTGTGTGTTTGTATAATTCTATCACATCACTGACCTTGTATGAGTGTTGTTTGTTAAAGTCTAATGTGGCTCAGACAGGAGTGCTGGAGGCCAGCAGCTATGTTTGCCTTGCCTCTATCTTCAACACAGCGACCGAGAGATAGCACATATTCAGTAAATGTTTGTCAATGAATTGGATGGATAGGGGTGTCCTTCCTCCATGCTTGGCATGTCCAGGTCATTACTTGTTACCGTAAACTCAGTATATTTAAAGACAAACTCATCACCTCCCCCGCTGATTTCCTCTTCTTTTGTTAAGGTTGCTATCATCACCACATTGATTCTAGGTGAGTTAACACTGACTCTACATCTTACTTCACCCTGCTGCCTAGCATAAATTCACAGATGTCATACAGATGTATAGTCTTGCCCTCCTTATCTTTTCAACCCCACTAAAGTTTTTTTCTGTAATACAGTGATATGTGTGGAGCCAGAGAACTCTTAAGTCAGAGCCCTGATTATTTCTTTGAGCTCTTGTCATAAAATCCTCCTTAATTATCCTCCTACCTCTAGAATCTGTCCTTTACCACCCACTCTCATCATCGGTAGCAATGTGGGCTACAAAGAGAACACAATTACACTCCATTCACCGTGTACAGACAAGATGACCGCAGTCACATCTTGAGCCCAGGACATCTTGGCTCTTGAGTTCCAAAATAACACTGCCTACTGCTGAAAGATGATCTGGAAAAATGCTACAGGATCATTACAAAACTCCCTGCAGACAACACACCCCGTGGCCCCTGCATGCTTGGCATAGGCTATGACTTTCTTTTCTCTTTTTGATTTTGGGTCACACCTGGCAGTGCTCAAGAATTACTCCTGGCTCTGCGCTCAGGAATTACTCTTGGTGGAGATTGTGGGACCATATGGAATGCTGGGAATCAAACCTGGGAAGGCTGTGTGCAAGGCAAGGGCCCTACCTTCTGTGAGATCTCTACAGACCCAACCCATGACTTCATCATCTGGGGACCCCCAAGCCAACCCTTTCAATAGGATACTTGTAATTATTCTCCATGT